CCTGCTGCTGCTACACCAGCAGCGTTATCCCCCTACGCCTGGAGAGGGCCAGGAACGCCATTCTTTGCTAGCTCTGTTCTCTTCCCCTCCTCGCCAAGCCTGGGACTGGGGAGACGACACAGACAAAAGCAGCAACAGCAAATGAATCAGCAGCAGCAGCAGCAAGGGCAGGAGGCAGTGCTGCAGCAAAGGCAGCAGCAGCAAGGGCAAGGGCAAGGATCGGTCCCTCAAGTCCTTGACACCCCTACTTCCCCCTCAACACCCCCCATCTCTCTCATCCCTCCTCGCGAGTTTTGGTCTAGAGAAACCTTCTGGCTTTCAGGTCAGAGGAAGTGGATGGAGCAGCAACAGCAGCAGCAACAGCAGAAGCAGCAGCAGCAGCAGCAGCAGCAGCAGCTAAGCGGAGAGGAAATGGGTGTTTCTGGCCCTGGGGCTGGTTGGCTGTCCCTATCTAAGCGTTTGCTGGGAGCTGCATCGCGGGAAGCCTTGGGAACTCCGGCCGGTGTGGCGCTGGATGCTGAAACTTCAGATAACAGTACACTCGCGTCTCTACAGTCCAATAATGCGTTATCATCAAGCTCGGATGCGATTCTTCCAGATGCAAGTTTATCTGGACGAGGGGCTGGTGCGGATGTGACTATAGGGGAGGGTGGTATAGGAGAAGTGGCAGAAGAGGAGTCGTCATATAGGGGTCCTTTGCCTGTTGCAGTGCGCCTTGCAGTTAGTGAGGACGGTCGACGACTCTCTGTAAGCAAATTCGGTAGTGAGTGCCTAGTTGCATGTGCGAGGGACGATATAGGTAAGAAGCAAGGAAAGGGTAGAGGCGGAAATGGTCGTCGTGGGGGTCAGGGAAGAGAGAAAGGGCAAAAAGGGAAGCGAGAAAGCGAGAAGGAGAATGACACTGTTGAGCATAGCTCTTGTGTGGTGGAGGTAGAGGAGATTGATTTAGGACCTGGGACATTTCTCACTAGGCTAGATATATCACCTAACGGGATATTTCTGGCTGGTAGATTTCTACTGACCTCTTAGTTAACTTCTGTTTATGTACCATCCGTATTCGTGCCCTCTCTAGTCTGCACGAAGTCTTATAATTGTTGAGCAGCCTTGTTTAGCGAGCGATGGTATCTTTCTTCTTTACAATTCTGAGAAACATCGATGACGCGTCCGATTGGTCGAGAAAACGGCGGGGAAGGGCTTGTCAGACGAGGTGAGGCAACTGGACGGCATTATGCAGGAGACAATAAAAGTGGAGCCTGCCGAATCGCGGTTCCCGCTGAGTCTGACGCGGCTCTGTAAGGTTCGAAAGGTATAATCTGGGACGCAGTGCGGTTGCTGGTCCATCATCCCCTCCCAAGCCTCGACCCTTGAGATCGCCATATTGGTTCTTTTTGAACTGCCCCTTCCGTCCGCAAGTGGAAACCAAATATGAAACGATTTTCCGAGCACTATCAATCCGTAGGTGGCACTTATGGAGGACTAATCGACCAGGGAGTCTGTTGACTTAGGGACGAAAAGTTAGGAACCTTTGGGCCTAGTGACAGTTTATTGATCGAGGGGCGACGCTTAGTCACGTCGGTGGCTCGCGGGACCTGCGAGTTCCAGTGCGATATTTCAGCAATCGCTCGTCGGCTCGTAGGCTCCTTAGGAGGAGTCGCAGGGAGTGAAAGTAGCCGTGGTGATTAGGCCTCTGTTTCCTTTTGAAATCAGTGAACTAATCGATGACCCTTGGCTTTTATGAAGAAGCTGTCAGGCAGCGGCACAGCGGGATTTCGCAAACGACTTGCTTGGATTTTCTGCCGGAATAGTGAGCAGCAGCGGTAGAATGGTATATTCTCAACGATGTAACTGTTTCTTGTAATTTAGCACACACATTTGCGTGCTGACGCTGTTTCTATTCGACTGCGCGTCTATATCTTCAGCGGTGACTTCTGTGCGTCTCCGCACAAGAAGTCACGTCCTTTTTCGGCCTCTCCAGCACACTATCGACGCGGCTTTAAACGATAGTGCGAGTGTATCTTAACAGCATCTGGAATTTAATATCCAGCGCCGAATCATGGATTGGTCGGATCGCGGATCCGATACGCGTCCTCTCTTCGCCACCTCGTCGCCTCGCAGCCCGAAGCGCTTCGGCGCTTTCTCTCGTTCCAGATCCTCGAAGGAGCGAGAGAGGTCGCGAATCCGACGGTCAGCGTATCGGTTCGACGGCCTGGGCTCGTTTGAGCGGTTGGATTGGGACCGGCTGAAGGAATTCGAGAAGGGACGGTTGCTGGGGAGGCAGCATACCCCGTCGCAACTACAGCAGGCGACGACGATTCAGTTGCAACAGCAGATTCACCCCCACCACCAGCACCACCACCAGCAGGTGCAATTCCAGATATCCCCCCGAGAATCAGACGCAGCGCGCTCGCCGCCGCCCGCGGACAATCCTCCCCGTCCGATTTCCAGCCGAACAGACTCAGCCGGCTCATTGGACGCCGCAACGGGATTTTATCTCCCCCACCCCGCGCTCGCCGTCTCCGCGGCTGTAGCAGACCCCGCCGCGGGCGTTGCTTCCGCGGGAGTAACGCCCGCCGGTACAGGCGCCGCCGCGGGGCTCCTGACGCAGCCAGGTGGCGAGTTCTCGTGGTTCCACGTGGAGATCCCGCGATCCTGCCCGTCGCTCTCCGCCGCGGCTCGCCAGCTCATCACGCATCTGCACCCTCCGCTGCAGCTGCAGGAGATCACGACGCTTCTATCCAACGGTCCATATTGCGGCACGCTCGGCGGCGCGCTGTTCGTGCGGATCAATTCCCCAGGGCCCATGGACAGCCCGTACACTTTTAAGATCGCGGCGCGGATCACGCCGTTTGGAATAGTAAGCGTCGCGTTGGGGCCAGTGCCTCGTTTAGAGCTGCAAAGAGAACCAGGAGGACTGTTAGGGTCGGAGGTTGGGTTAGGGTTAGCGGGGCTGGTGGCTAGATTGCGTGACGACGCTGCCGCGGCTGTAGGGACGAACGGTGCGGGTCCTAGTGGTGGTGCTGCCGCTGGTGCTGCTGCTTCTGCCAGTAGTCTTAACGGAACAGACAGAGGGACAGACGGAGCTGCCGTTTTGAGGAGACGGTCGCCGAATGCGTCATTCCGGGCCATTAACGAGGGCGAACCAGAAACCGCTGCGCTTTCCGTTCTCGTTAAAGACACCAGCGCTACAGTCACGCCCATTACCAGCACGCCTGGCAGCCCGTCCGATACGCCCCGCCCGCTCAAAATCAGCGTAGGGGCAGGGTCATCCTCGTTAGAGGCTTCCGCGATAGCAGCCGCAGTAGCAGACGGGATGGGCACTACAGGAACTAGTGGAGCAGGAGGAGCAACAGTAAGATTAGAGACTGCAGCCGTTTCTCTCAGAGCGACAAACTCGGAGATAGAAGAGTGTGTGACAATAGAGGGGGGTTCGCTTTCCTCCGGCACAACAGAGGGGGGCTTGCCTGCCTGCGGCGCAGGAGTGAGCCACGTGAAGAGCGAGGGGAATCTGGACCGGAGGGGGCTGTTGCAGGGACTAGGCAGCAGAAGCTTCGGAATGGGCAGTAAAGGCTATGCTAGTGATACAGGAGGGGGGGGAGTCAGATGGGGAGCGAGTGCAGGTGCTTCTGGGGTAGGTTCTTCTGGGGTGGGTTCTGCTGGGGGAGGTGCATCTGGGGACGCGGGTGGGGTTGGGGGGAAGCGGAGTGGCGGGGTTTTGGCGCGAGTGGGAAAGGTTCTGGAGGCAATGACGCCGCGGAGGAGGGAAGTGAGGGAGGTGAGGGAGGAGCACGCGGATGCACACACGACCATCGATGTGGACGATGCGGTGAGTGCCCCCTTGAATGCGGAGAATGTTGTGTGGCAGTGCGCGTTGCTCTATCATGTGGGGAAAGTGTGGCATTGGATGGTGCCCTATCATGTGGGGAAAGTGTGGCATTGGATGGTGCCCTATCATGTGGGGAAGGTGTTGGGGGCAATGACGCCGAGGAGGCGGGAGGTGAGGGAGGAAGTGGTGGATGCACACACGACCATCCATGTTGATGATGCGGTGAGTGCCCCCTTAAATGAAGTGAGTGACTCTTGCAGTGCGTGTGGCAGTGCATTATGCACCTCTTACCCTTTGCCTTCCCTTCTGTCTCACCTGCTCTCCTCCAGGAGTTGGAAGAGCCAACCAGAGAACTCTGAGTGTCTGATCCCAGTGACTGGGTTTGGGCTGCTGTTTAGCGTGCCCCACCTCTTACCCTTACATCCCCTCATGACTCATCTTTCTCTCCAGGAGCTAGAGGAGCTGCTGCGGAAGAGCCATCCAGAGAACGCCGAGGGTCTGATCCTAGTGATGCTTCAACACATGCCCCACCTCTTACCATTTCCCTTCCTTGATACGTCATTTGTCTCTCCAGGAGCTAGAGGAGCTGCTACGAAAGAGCCACCCAGAGAACGCCGAGTGCTTGATCCCAGTGACAGTGTTTGGGCTGCTGCGATGGATGCCCCACCTCTTACCTCTTACCTCCCTTTGCCCCGTCTTTTCTCTCCAGGAGCTAGAGGGGCTGCTGCGGAAGAGCCATCCAGAGAGCGCCGAGTGCTTGATCCCAGTGACTGTGTTTGGGTTGCTGCAACACATGCCCACCTCTTACCTCTCACGTCCCTTTGTCTCATCTGTTCTCTCCAGGAGCTAGAGGAGCTCCTGCGGAAGAGCCACGCGGAGAACGCGGAGTGTCTGATCCCAGTGACGGTGTTTACGCTGCTGCAGCACATTGTGGAGACGCACATGGAGCACGTAGGGAGCTCTGACTGACTGTGTTCGAGCATGCCCTCCTCTTACTCTTTGCCTTTCCTCGTGTGTCGCCTGCTTTTCCCCCAGGAGTTGGAAGAGCTTCTGAGGAAAAGCCACCCGGAAAACGCCGAGTGCTTGATCCCAGTGACGGTGTTTGGGCTGCTGCAGCACATTGTGGAGACGCACATGGAGCATTTAGAGGACGTGGTGGTGGAGGTGGAGTGCATGCTGGACCAACACGAGAGGGACTTAGACGAAGGTGAGTTGCGATACAGTATGGTACAATACGGTACAGTGCGGTACAGCTGTGAAGAGCATGTGAGTGTTTGGGTTGCTGCAGCACATAGTAGAGACGCACATGGAGCATCTGGAGGATGTGGTGGTGGAGGTGGAGTGCATGGTGGACCAGCATGAAAGAGACCTGGATGAAGGTGAGTTCTGCACACGTGAATCATTGCAGTGCTGCAGCGCATTGTGCTGCTGCAGCACACTGAGACGCACACTGAGACGCACACTGAGACGCACATGGAGGATGTGGTGGTGGAGGTGGGGTGCATGCTGGACCAGCACGAGAGGGGCCTGTATGAAGGTACGGGAGAGGATTACTGTACAGTTTGGGATCATTTACAGCATTGGCGCACACAGTTCATCATTGAGACGCACATGGAGCATCTGGAGGATGTGGTGGTGGAGGTGGGGTGCATGCTGGATCAGCACGAGAGGGACCTGGATGAAGGTGGGATAGCGTATGCCCTTTTCCCTCTTCTCCTTTTTTGATAACCCCCTTCCCCTTACTTATATCCTACCTGGCTCGGACCAGACCATCGCCTACTACTCCGTGTAAAAAGGGTATTTTTGAGACGTCTCAAAAATATATCCTACCTGGCTCGGACCAGACCATCACCTACTACTCCTCAAAGATAGAACCTTCCCCAGGTTGCACCTGGACCTGCAGGGAGTGCTGCAGTGTTCCCCCTGCGTGTGTTAAATGGTGATCTCTGTATGCAATCCCCACACTGACACCCACGCGTCGAGTTTTGAGTCGACTCAAAACTCGTGCTGCAGTGTTCCCCCTGCTTGTGTTGGATGGTGATCTCTGTATGCAATCCCCAGGCTGACACCCACGCCCCTCCATTCCTCTCTGTGTGCCGCCCTCAGGATCTGCCCGTCGGCTTCAGTTACTTGAAGATAGAACCTTCCCCAGGTTGCACCTGGACCTGCAGGGAGTGCTGCACGGTTCTCCCTGCTTGTTGAACCTCTCTGTGCAATCCCTACCCTACCCCACCCAACCCCACCCCTTCGTAATCCCCTCTGAATACTCTTTCAGGGTCAGACCACAGGCTGCGACTACTCAAGGATAGAACCTTCCCCGAGGGGGGCCTGGACCTGCAGAGAGAGCTGCTGTCTTGCCCCTGCTTATTGTATCTGTGTGTGTGGTTTCGACCCGGATTCCCCCTTTCCCCTGTGTAGCACTCTCAGGCTCAGACCATCGCCTGAGGTTGCTCAAGGATAGAACCTTCCCCAAGCTGCGCCTGGACCTGTAGAGAGTGCTGCAGTCACTGCTTGCTGAATCTCTGTGTGTGATTCTTACCCTGATTCTTTCTTACTCCGCCTGTCTACATTCTCAGGATCTGATCACCGTCTCCGGTTACTGAAAGACAGAACCTTCCCCAAGCTCCACCTGGACTTGCAGAGAGTGCTGCAGTCGCTGGCTCACGGGGAGGTGGTGCTGCCGAAGCTGAAGGACAGGCTCGTGGCTCGGCACTGGTGCCCCGGACCTGTAGCTTCGGCGGTGCTGGACGGGGCAATGGCTCGGCTGAGGAGAGGCAAGGAGAACGTGGGGTTCCTGACGGCGCGGATCACGGCGCTACAGACGGGGCTGGACCAGTGGCAGTCTGAGCAGATCAACAAGAAGCTTTACTATATCTCCTTCCTCTCCATTGTCTTTCTGCCGCTCTCCATCATTACCGGAGGTGAGAGTGCTGTTACAGGAGGTGAGGTGAATGGGAGAGTCGCGGCGCTACACGCAGGGATGGTCTTGGGTGGGCTTTCTGAGGGCGAGAGAGAATCACAGCGCTAAAGACCGGCTGGATCAATGAGAGTCGGAGCAGATCAACAAGAAGCTTTACTACAACTCCTTCCTCTCCATTGTCTTTCTGCCGCTCTCTATAATCACCGGAGGTGAGAGTGCTGTTACAGGAGGTGAGGTGAATGGGAGAGTCGCGGCGCTACACGCAGGGATGGTCTTGGGTGGGCTTTCTGAGGGCGAGAGAGAATCACAGCGCTAAAGACCGGCTGGATCAATGAGAGTCGGAGCAGATCAACAAGAAGCTTTACTACATCTCCTTCCTCTCCATTGTCTTTCTGCCGCTCTCTTTCACCTCAGTGGTGAGACCTAAATGTCACCCGACTCAGTTTCACCTTTTTCCCTCCTTTCTTTATTCCCCACATTGCCCTCCCTGCCAGCCTTTGGCATGAACGTGGGTGGAGTCCCCTGGGTGCAGCAGACCACCTACCCATATGTCACCCGAGGATTTGTCAATTCATGGTTTCACCTCTTTCTCCCCTCCCTCCCTCCCTCCCTCCCTCCCTCCATCCCTCCCTCCCTCCCTCCCTCCCTCCCTCCCTCCCTCCCTCCCTCCCTCCCTCCCTCCCTCCCTCCCTCCCTCCCTCCCTCCCTCCCTCCCTCCCTCCTTCCCTCCCTCCCTCCCTCCCAGCCTTTGGCATGAACGTGGGTGGAGTCCCCTGGGTGCAGCAGACTACCGATGGCCAAAATGTCACCTGAGGGTTTATCAGCGTGATGTGGATCTGCTTCTATGTGGTGATTGCACTGGTTGCAGCAAACCATTGACCACCCAAATGTCACCCGAGCTGCCATTCATAACATACCGTTCTGTTCTTCTATAATTCTCAAAAAACAGTTCTCCCTGTCCCTGCCCTCTTCCTTCCTTCCCTCCCCACCAGCCTTTGGCATGAACGTGGGTGGGGTTCCCTGGGTGCAGCAAACCACCAACGACCCAAACATCACCTCAGGGTTCATCAACGTGATGTGGATCTGCTTTTACGTCGTGATCGCGCTGGGCGCTGCTTTCGCCGCTCCTTCAGTGTATGCGTATGTCCAGGAGCGGTTAGAGGAGCGGAAACGAATAGGGAAGGAGTTGTGGGAGCGGGCACGCAAGGTAATGAATGTGTTGAAACTTAGACCGAGAGGAGTAGGGAGGATTGGAGAGGGATACCGCCGGCATGAATCGGATGAGTAGAGCGCATGAAAATTGTATCTTTGTGAAATCTGCGTTTTCGTAGTGTGAAAAAGGGCTTGGTGTTTGTTGATGGTAATACTTGCTTCAAGGCTTAAGTTTAGCTTCAGACCATGCAACCCTGGTTCGAACACCCCTCCAATGAAGGTCCATGCTAACATGTGCTGGGAATGTAGGGAGTGACTGGAGGGTTTTGATGTAAAAGAGATCCAAGTGACATGGGGTGTTGCTGGGTCGTGAAGGGTGCATTGGACTGTATGTGTTCGCATTGGAATTTTGCTGCTATTTTCAATTATGCTGGCTGTGAATTGTGAAAAGCTGCTAATAGAACACACCCTATTCACATGGCTGTGAATTGTGAAACGCTGCTAACCAAATTTATCCATGTCCACATGGTTGTAGAAAAAGCATTATGGTTTGTACTGTCCATGTTCCCTGGATTGAAGACCTAAATTTTAACGGGCGATATTGTAAGATGAAGTATATTCCCGACCGCATACAGAAAAACCCTCCTGAAATGTCGAACTCCCGTAAGCTGGGAAAGTCATCACCACGGAAATGTTACAGTATCGAGGCACTGTAGCGCCCTGCGATTCTTTTGGGGCTGGTTGGGTCATTCTCTTGTGGTGGATAGGTGGAGACATATTCGCTGATGTCTCTTCAGGGATCTGCGCAGGTGGGTTCCCGCATGTGTCTCTCAGGGCTGAACAATTCTGGCTTCTGGAGCCGCAATTTGGCCTAGCCGCAGGTGTGTTCTTTCTTGTTGAATTTGGAGGGGCAGGGAGTTTTTCAGGCGCTTATCAAGGCGCGAATCTGAGCGAATGTGATGGGCGAAGCAAGTGCAGGGTGCACCTCATCCGCACCGCTTCCCGGAGCGCCCACAGAGAAATGCCCATGTGATTTGCTGCGCTTCGCTGATTTCTGCTAAGGCGGAGATTCGCCTTGGTTTGCGCTTGCACCGCTGCGCATGTTCCATTCTGTTATCGGTTTCTCCGGGTGCAAATTGATTTGTCGTATTCGATGGAACCAGACATGGATAAAACTGGGGATCGTCGCTACCGCCTGTAGTTCAAAACGAAACCCTTGTTTCAGCTCCACCAAACCACCTCTTCCACTGCACATTGCATCAGCCCCAACTGATTTGACTCCATCGCTTTGCCCAAGTGCCAAAGAAGTCCCAGCGTCAACACAGCACGAACAAACAATCTTGAATCAAGGATCTCAGCAACTAAGGACATAGCAAAATGGTTCCTAAGCGAGCAGCTTCTGCGTTCATCGAAATGGCCGCTGCCAAGCGTCTTCGCGCGTCCGAGACCAAAGCCGTCGCTCAGTCCTCATCGTCACTGGATATGATTCCGGTAAGCACTCCTATCCACACCGTGCCCTGATTTTGTTTCCACTCTCGGCGCCCCTCGTTCACTTAGTTCTCTATCTCCGTTTTCCACTTTGAACGGATTCTAACCTTGGGACTTCCTTCTTTTTGCTCCTCTCCTATTGTTCTTCCAGGATGACGTTCTCTCCCTGATCGCCACATCCGTCGCGTCGAAATGCGCGTCAGCTGCGGAGTTCGCCAGCTTGCGCCTCTCCTGCAAACGCTTCCACGACGTGGCTACGTTTCCCGAAGTCCTTTCCGCGCTCCCCATCTCCGCTCTCACATGCCCCGCGCGCGCCTACTCCGCGTCCTACCGCTCCTTCCTCCGCGCGTGCGCGGACGCGCGCAACAACGAGGCTGCGTTCCTCCTCGGGATGATCGAGTTCTACTGCCTAGGCGACCGTAAAGACGGAATCAAACACCTAGTCCAAGCCGCGAAAGCCGGGCATCCCGGCGCGCTGCATTCCCTCGCCGTCGTCCATTTCAACGGCAGCGGCGGCGCGGTCCCCGAGCGGAAACTCTCTGTCGGCGTACTTCTCTGCGCCAGCGCCGCGCAGCAGGGCCACGTGGCGGCGCTTCGAGAGTTAGGGCACTGCTTGCAAGACGGGTACGGGATCAAGAAGAACGTGGCCGAGGGGAGGCGGTTACTGATGGAGGCGAATCTGCGTGAGTTTGCGGCCAGCCAGGTGTTATCTGGGGAAGGTGGCTTCCCCGAGGCTGAGCAGAAGCTTCGGCAGCTTGATGCGGTGATTAAGTCAGTGAAGGCGGTGATTCCGAAGCTGAGCTCGGACGAGGCGCGGAGTAACGAGCAGGTTAAGGACGGGCAAGTTCCGGCGTCTGCTGCGGCGGAGTCGCGAGCCCAGGATCATGTGTGCGCGCACGAGCACACGCACGCGGGTCCCTGCAACCCGCCTTCCGCCAACGGCGCGTCTTCCCCCGCGCAGCTGCTGCAGTCCCTCTGCCGGTGCCTGCGCCCGCTCATGAGCGACTTCGGTTGCGCCGTTCCGGATCTCCCCCTCCCCCCCGCCTCGCGCTTCCTCCTCGAGTGGAACGCGGAGCACGGCGTCCCCGCGCCTGAGGGCGGACTGAAGGTGTGCGGAAACGTGCGGTGCGGTCGGCCGGAGACGCGCGAGAAAGAGTTCCGCTGCTGCGCGGTGTGCTCGGGCCCGAGCTACTGCTCCCGCGCGTGCCAGGCGCTGGATTGGCGCGCGGGGCACATGGATGCGTGCCATGAAGCCCCTTACGCGGAGGATGCGGTTCAACTGGGGGAGGGGGAGGCTGTGGAGGTGGCTTGACTTGTGGAAGAAACTCGTTGATTACGCTGAGTACCTCTCTAATGATGGATGGCATGGCACTTCTCTACACTGACCTACGGCCTTACATGGCCCTATTTTACTTACTAACCACTAATTTAATAGTTATCCGACCCTGTATTCTATAGTTTCTGTTGTACCATGTGTTCATATGGAATTTCACGTTGGTAACCTTCACATGTATTTTTAAGAGCGTGCTCAGATGCTCAGCACATCGGCATCATCAGTCAGGGTTGGTCTTGTCTGTCTTGGCTTAAAGCTCGCGTCTCAGATTTCCAACCTTTTAACACTTGGTTGGGTTTTCCCGTCTGTGATTGGGTAACGAATGACGAATTATTTGACGAGTGGGTGAAAAAAACACAGCGAACTCCCAAACAGTCGAGGCCAAAACAAACCAGGGTGGGTTGGTTTGGGTGGAAAACGAGCCAAGGGGGACAGGTTTGGTCCCGGGTTCTGTCAACGTTGAGTTCAGAGTCTCATATTTTCGAGAGTTGTTAACACTTGGTGTGCACGGGGAAGTGTGCGACAGCCAACTTTCCCAAACCACCCCTTGCTTTGGTGTGCTTTGCGACAAACTCTGCTGTTACCGGATTCCAACCGTTTAACACTTGGTTGGATGGCAGAAATATGAGACGCGAGCTTTAAACCAGTTCCCAGGACATTTACATCTCAGGACTGTCACTTCAAGCAGTAACCAATGGTGCTTGGTATCTTACCTGTATTTACCCACCATATGGCCAGAAACAGGCTTAATTATATAGTTGCATATTGTTTAGCTGAATGTGGATGACGTGTTCTGCTGGTCCTCGCCCCAAAACTTGTACACCGCTTACAGCGTATGCAGCAATAGCGAGGATGATTTGGAACGTGGTTCGTTTTTTGTGGTGTGGCACACCACCCAAAGAACGCACCACCACTCGTGCTGAGTGCTCCACCGCACCACCACACAGTGGATTTCAAATCACGTGAAAATAGTGAACGGTCCAAAACGGTAACCATCGGGACACTGCTTACCGTGTGGAAACCCACAGAACCGCAGTGGAAAATCATTAGTGGACGATTTTCCCTAGGTAGCATCAACGAAGACAGTCAGGCAGTGCACTCACAGGCTCAGTTAGCTGTAAACATTTTGAGGGAAACTACCAAGCCAACCGATGAGTCGCATTTCGCACCAGGTGTCATAGGTCTCTCAAAACTGGTTTCCCGTAACCCCTCTCCATGTCGGCTCCCTGAACGAGCAGCGTTATTCGTCAATGGAGCGTAGCCCGTTCTTCCGCGGAGGGTCGCCGTGTTCTCTGTAACGATTTGACTTCACCGTTCTCTGATTTGTCTGTTTTCAGGTTTCGCTTCCAATTGCCGTCGGTGATCAAGGACTCGCTTCGTAGTGTGAAGCCATGTCGAAGCGAGGTAAACCCCTGAACTATTGAAAGGAGCAAAGCAGTGAATTGTGGTGCAGTAAAAAGTAGTTTCAAGGATCGGGGAGCCATATTGGTAGAGGCATTCATTCATGTGTATTTTAGAGCCTTAGGTGATTGATGATGTGTACTTGGGTTCATGAATTGTATCCTTCTGTGGTAATGAATACAACATGTACTTGCTTTGTCAGAACATTGACAGTACGCAGTTGTGGGAACGTGTGTTGTTCACTGGGAAGTATTGCCGAGTTCAACCCAGGTTTAGCAGAAGTGTAAGTCTAATCATTTGGCACCGAAGCTGTCAGATCTCTTATACTTGGCGCCACAACCTTATAGCGATGAGGCTAGGCCTAGCTGTTCGGCGCCGTCTGG